ATACAGTGTATATATACAGTATATATACTGTATATATACACTGTATATATACAGTATATATACTGTATATATACAGTATATATACAGTATATATATATACTTGTGTTTGAGTTATATACCATAACTCAAGCACAAGGGCGTCAGAAGCATTTGTCATGTGGGGAGGACACACTGATGTGTGTAGGTGTGTATGTGCGCGTGCACACATGTGTGCGCACGCAAGAAAAACATGTTGACTAGTGAACATAAAATCAACATTTCATCTGGATTTCCTTTAATTCCACACATTTAAAACATGTTTCTCACCAAGTTTGTGTAAATTCATCTGTGGGTTTAAAGACGTTTTAACTTTAGTACACTTTAACACAGAGCGTCAGATCAGCACTATTTGTGTTTATAGAGAAATAAAAACATCACCACTGGACTTTTTTACTTGTGTTCAACACGACTCATCTAAATGATGTTTGTTCATGAAGCTTGAGGACAACAAGGTGTGGGGTTTAAAGACATTTCAACTTTAATGCACCTGAACACACCATTTCTCCTCCACCTGCAGCGTCTCACAGCCTCACACTTACTGCTAAGCTAACATGCTAAATGAAAGTTTTTTTATGTGGGGGGGGCATGTCCCCTTCACATATAGTGGTTGCGACGCCTGTGCTCCAACGTGTTGGGCAGAGCGACAGAGCTTCTCCTTCAGAGAACATGTAACCACAGACAATTGTAGGTTTTTGCTCCTGGTGGTGTTGGTGGACACAACGAAAGGCTCACGTTGTTTTTCTGCGTTCTCCAGGTTTTATGCTGCTGAAATCTGCATCGCTCTGAACTTCCTTCATGAAAAAGGCATCATCTATCGAGATCTGAAACTCGACAACGTTCTCCTGGACCACGATGGTCACATCAAGCTGACAGACTACGGCATGTGCAAGGTGCAACACAAAACCATCTAATAGTGCTCACGCTCGTAAGCATATGAAGCGTTCACGCTACTGTGATCCAGTTTTCTTGTTTTTCAACAAATCACAATCAAAACGTTCGGCTCTTTCAGGACAATCCTACTGTGACTTTTGGTATCGGTGCAACTTTAGCTTTTTGAAATGTTTAGCCTTTTCTGACATTTTTTTCTCATAGAAAATGAATTGATCTCATTTTACCTCCATCAAATCTTTAGATCTGTTTACAACCTTTTACTGCTCTTTTCACATTTTGTTTTGCTTCAGCTTCAGCTACTTTCAGCTACTGTCAGCTGTTTTTTTCAGCTGTTCTGTGTTCCTTTCAGCTTCTTTCTGCTAACTACAACATTTTTGTGTTTCGTCTAACGTCTTTCTGCTCCTTTCAGCTTAGTTCTGCAAGTTTCAGCTTTTTCTATTATTTCAGCTACTATTTAGCTGTTTTATACTATTTTAAGCATTTTCAGCTAATTCCACATTTTTTGCACTCATTTAAAAAATTTTCAGCCTAATTCAGAAAAAATGTGCCATCTCCGCTTCCTTTCTGGTAATTTAAGCCTCTTTCTGATTTTTTTTAGCTGCTTCTCAGCTGTTTTTTTTTTTTTCTTTCTAATTTCAGTTTTACAGTTTCCACTTGTTTTCTGCTCTTTTCATCTTCTTCCAGTCTAACTGGGCAAGCGTGTGTTCTTTCTGCTTTCTTTTACAAATTTAAGCTTGTTGTACATTTTCAGCTACCTTTTTTTTTTTTAGCATTTTTTTAGCTAATTTCAGCTGTTTTTCAGCAAGTTCTGCAATAAGCGCTGAGCCTTTATTTTGACAGGAAGCACAGTTTAGTTCATGTTTGTGTCTGTACAGACCTTAGGATGACTGGCTTTCCTTCAGCTGAGGCTTTACGGTGCTCTTCTTCTTGATGTTCTTGCTCCTCTCAGGAGGGGATCAGACCGGGAGACACCACCAGCACCTTCTGTGGAACCCCAAACTACATCGCACCCGAGATCCTCCGAGGAGAGGACTACGGTGAGCGCACACACGTGCACAGACGGCCTCACGGTCGGTCAATCTGTTCAGCTCGTCCAAACCTGAAACTTCAGAACTGACAGTTTTTACTGAGCTGGCAGCTGTTTGAGCTTCAGAACACTCGTATGGACAGAAGACAAGAACCTTGACGTCCCTCGCCCAGACGTGGGTTGCTGCAGCCCCACCCTGGAGCCAGGCCTGGGGGGGCTCCTCAGCGAGCACCTGGTGACCAGGTCTCTGCCCATGGGCTCAGCCTGAGTGAGTTACGTGGGTTTGCCTTCCTGTGGGCCCACCTCCTGCAGGAGGGGCCATACAGGTCAAGTGCATGTTGCTGAAGGTGGGGGCCGTGGAACAAAGCTGGCTCATGGGGCATGAACGTCACCTCTCTGGTGGGGAAGGAGCCTGAGGTTGAGGTTGGGCTCACCTCCATGCACAGCGTTGGTTCTGGAACCGGTCTCCTTGGGAGGGGCTGGACCTTTGTCCAGTCTGGAGTGGTCCATGGTGAGAGGCGCCGATCCCCATGTGACCTTCAGGGAACGTCCTCTCTCATCTGGACCTCAGCTCATGCAAACATGCCTTTATTTGTCCCTCCTGGTCTCTAACCTGCTGCTCTGTCCCCCCCGCAGGCTTCAGTGTGGACTGGTGGGCTCTGGGCGTCCTGATGTTTGAGATGATGGCTGGAAGGTCTCCGTTTGACATCATTACAGACAATCCTGACATGAACACTGAGGAGTACCTCTTTCAAGGTAAGAACCTGCTGCTCGTGTCTGTGATGGAAGACGAGCTTTGATGGTTTCTGTGAACTGGGACTGAACCAGAGCAGGAGCTGCTCCAACCTGCACCGTGCTCTAACGACCAGCAGGAGGCGCCACCTCTGGTTTCTGGAGAATAAACCAAACCAGGATGGTTTCCTCAGAGGGAACATCTGTTGGATGAGGTGAAGTTTGTGGTCGTACTGAAGGCGTCATGAAACAAAACGAGTTCTGAACGTTTTCTGACAGTTCAAAGGTCAATTTAGAGCCGACCAGCTGCTGCTCGTGGATCATCTGGTTTATAGATCCACCTCATGAAAACATGATTATTACCACGATGAAGAGACTGATGGAACGGGAGAAGACTGAGATGGAGACGTTGATAAATGAAATAAATATAAAGAAAAATATATTTGGAAAAATCACAAACTCAAAGATGAAAAACAACAAACGATGAGAAGATACATAAAAGGAAGAAAGCAAGGAAGACCGAGAATAAGATAAAAAAGATTAAGACAAAGCAGATGAAGGTGACGACAGACAGATGAAAATGAGGAAGACATCAATCAATCGATCGATCGATCGGTGTTTATTTATGGAGCTCTTTCCACAGCCAACATGTGATCCAAGTTCTTCACAAAGCAAAAACACAAACATGTGAGAGTTTAGGTGTTCAACGCCTGCCTGAGCAGAAAGTTCTGAGATGAGATTTTAAAGGTGCAGGTCGGTGATGCAGGGCTCAGGACGTTGGTGCCACAGTCCGTGTGCAGCGACCCAGAAGGCCCGGTCCCCCCAGAGTTTGTGCTTGGACTCGGAGACAAACGGTGAAGACGTGTCCGCTGACTTCAAGGTCACTTCTTTCTGTCTGTGTCGGAACAGATTTTAAATCTTCCGTCGGGTTGTCGTCTTCAGAGTTCTCTGTTCCATCGAGGCGTTTTCACATCTGATGTTCTGAATGAAGGTTTGCTCTCGTGCTGATGTGCTCACGCAGCTCCAGGACAAACTCCTGCGCCTCCGAGCTGCTGGATATTTGGCAGAACATCGTGGCCTCCGTTACAGATGACGTTGGCGACGCACGAAGAACACTGAAGTCTTTGCTTTATTAGTTTCGTTTGGCAGCGGACGGATGTTTCGTTCGTGAGGAGCCGGTGCCAGACAATTATCCCGAGCCACCTGAAAACACGTTTCTGTCTTCTGTCGGTTTAATTGCTCCAACATGTTGTTTTGACACAGTTTTATGAGGAGGCGTTTTAAAGCTACAACGTTTTATCGGTGCAGGAAGGCGCCTGCGACATTCTGACTTCTCTCGTCCGAGCGAGAACCCGGCAGGAACGAGCTGCATCTTTGTGTGTCCTCGAGCCATATGGTTTCCTTACATAGAACAACCCGGGTCACCTCCTCCCTGCCTCACTCCGCCCGCTGCAACAGAAATCCCTTCGGACAGCCGCGTGACGCGCTTCGACTCCGCGCCGCTCTACGGCGAGCATCTGCCACCGGCACCGTCCTCCTGGTGGTCCTACTTGTCCATCAGCAGGTTCCTGGATGAAGGTCTGCAGAGGAAGCCGGCTCTTGCACCGTACGAGCCACCGACCATATGCCTCAGAGCTGGACCCGGTGCCAGAGCGGCGCTGCAGAGAGTCGCGCGCCAAACGGGATTTATTAGACCGCAAAAAGGCTTTTCTGTCGGACGTGAGCAAAAATCAAAACACTCTGGCACGTTAAAGGTTAAAGGTGCTCTGTAAACGTTGGTGATTTAATAAAGTTTTCAGTGTGTTTAGTTATTTATTTTAGGCAGAAAATATGTTTTTTTTTAATTGATAATTTATTTTAATTTAGCTGTCGTTTATTTCATCAGACTTTACCATGAATTTAAATAAAACTGCTGTAAATTTACAGTAATTTAAATAAAACGTTTGCGTTTTCTTGCTTTTTTTATATAATTAGTCTGGACCTCTTCTGTTCTCGGGCCGTTGTGCAAGTCCTGGTTTTTGTAACGGCAGAGAAGAATCTGCTGGCTCGGTGAATGACGGTCCAACAATGGAGAGTTCTGATCAACTTCAAAACCCTTTATAGATGCGAGATGTTTTTATTTGTTTTTGTCCATCTGTTTATAAGACGAGTAATGATTCATGCTGGGACCACTGGATGTTGTAACGTTGATTAGAAACAGCACTTTATTAAAGAAAAGCACATTCACCTAAATCTGTTTTAACACAAGTCTCAGATATCACAGAACCGTTTGAGGTCCATGAGGTTTGTTGTTTTGGTTCAAAGATGTGGACTGGTATCGGCTGAGAACTGGAGTTGTAACTTTACCTGCATGTAGAACGATCACTAACACGATCCAAACATCTCCACCACCTCCAAGAACCAGACCTGCAGAACCCCCTCCAGGAAACATACGACTTGTATTATAGTATAAAAAAGTCCAACTTCTCTTTGCCTCACATACTCTGTGTGAAGAGTTTAATAGTGAAAAGTGTTTGTTTTTGTGTTTCCATCACTGACGTTAGTATTTAGAAGTGTTAAAATGTGAGTAAAGCAGAGAATAACTCCACATCTGACTCCCACACAGCAGACATGGTCACCCACAGGCAGGTTGGCCGCTGAATCATCCTCCTCCTTACTCACGACTGCCCTTTTATTGTCTCTCCCACTTTCCTTCTCTTCTGGCTGTCCTCCTTCCTTTTTTGTTACAACAGTCATTCTCGAGAAGCCCATTCGCATCCCAAGGTCTCTGTCGGTGAAAGCTGCCAGCGTGCTCAAGGGCTTTCTAAACAAGGTGAGAGTGATCCACTCCCATCAGCCGCTTGTTGGACTCCGTGTGAGTCTGTTCACTTCTGTTAGGCAGGCAGTGTTCAGCTCCAAACAATTCAGTTGAGCTGGTTTTTAGTTTTGTTTTGGTTGTAAAAAAAAAAAAAAACACTCAACGCCTTCAGCGAAGGCCTAAAACTTCCATACATGCGAAGTGGTACATTAAAACATTCATTTAGTGTTTGTTTTAAATAAAATAATTCCAATGTAGTTTTTATTATTTTTTTTTACTAATGTCTTTTATTTTCTGTAAAGTACTTTGCAGTCGAGCAAGAATCTTTTGTTAATTCCTGAAAACCCAGTTATCCAATCAGGTTCTTTTAAATTTGTGTCTCCGGGCAGAATCATGTTTGAAGGATCTCTCTCATTGGTCAGGACTTCAGTGTCAGGAGAGAAGGCTGAGCTCAGTCAGAGTCTCCGCAGGAGGAGTTTGTTGAATAACTGGCAGGAAAATTTACCAATCAATGTTCATGTAGAGTGGGCGGGACCAAAACGCCGAGCCCTGAGCCTTCAAGAAGGCCTGTGAAGCTTTTTTTAGATTTGTGATGCATTCAATTGCAACCTGTAAATTCAAAAATCCATACCGAATTTGTTGCTCTAAAAAATGAAGGAATCAAATTTAGCTTTACAATAATTTTTAATATTAAAGTTGTGTTTTGGTTTCATGGCATGTGGGGAGCCGCAGAGCATTCTGGGTAATCTTGGGACAAAAATGGATGGACTTTCTCGGGTTGTGTTCAGATGTTGTTCCTGTTTAGTGTTGGGTTTTGTGTTCAGGTTGTTGTTGGTGACTCAAGAAATGACACCGTAAGTCAGACTCGATGGATTAAAAGAGAAGTCCTACCAGAGAGTAAAGTGATGTTCACATTCACAGGATGTTACATCCTAACTGAAGGCCTAGCTCGTGTAGTCGAGGTTCACCACTGCCATAAACATTAAAAGGAAATTATTTAAAGGTGTGTGGACCAAGTCGGGCCGCCTGATGAAGTGAAAGTGCTGTTGATATATATCACAATGACCCTGAGAGTACGCTGGGTTGTCTGTATTTTGATCTGCCCCAGTTTTTTGTGTCTAACCCTTTTTTTTTTTTAAACCCCAACAGGATCCAAAGGAGCGGTTGGGGTGCCAGGTCCAGACGGGCTTCACAGATATCAAGTCACACACGTTTTTTCGCTATATAATCTGGGACCAGGTAAGTGCTGAACGGGTGAAGCGTGCCAGAAAATAAAATACTGTGTTTTGCCGCTGTTTTTGTCAAAATATTGGCAGAAGATTTCACTTTAATCTGTCAAATTGTACACTCAATTCCTGTAGGGAAGCAAGAGAAGTACCTCTATGTTCGTCCAGGGTCACTTCAAAACTGCCTCAGAATGGTACATTAAGTGACGTTGATCAAGAACCCACAGTGCAAAGTTCTGACGGGACACTTTGGGCCCCAGAATTCACAGAAAAATTACTTTGACAAGCAAAGCAGCATCTAAGTAAACGATACCAGACTTAAAATAATGAATTTAACTGCGTAGCTCGGCAGGATGAGTCCCTTACGAGTCTCCCAGCCACCTTTACCTCACGTTGCAAAATCTTTGTTGGTCACTCAGCAGGTGCGGTACCAAGGTGCATCGTCAGGATGTTCTCTATACTCCATGATGTATGTTTCTTGGTGAGGCCCCCTCTTTGGTAGAAAACAACCTAAGAGGTAAAAATCTGCCAGAATGTGGGTGATCCTTGTGGGGCCTTGGGTAGATTTTAAGGTGCAGTGTAAGAACACGGTGGGTACCCCATTACGTGGGAAGTGACATGGAGGGTTTTGAGCATGCACATACACATGATGTCATGGTGGTTTATCATCGTGGTGGCAGCACATCTGGGTCCTGGGTGGAGCGTAGGGAAACGTGATGGCAGCCATGACATGAAGCTCAAAAGCGCTGGTGTGGTTTGGTTGTTGAGGAGTTGAAACCAGACTGGCTGCATTGGTCTCACATCTAGGCTACATTCATGATCGTGACAAGTCATGGAGACAACCCAGTGCAGGCGTAGTAACTCATGACAGCGTCTGCTAGTGTGAAGTCTGAGAAAGTTGTTTCAAGGCAGGGCACAGGGATGTAGTATCATCACAGTGAGATCGTTATGGGAACTCGTTGATATCGATATAGAGCACGGTGAAGGTGAAGAATTGTATCTCAGGGATGCTGAATGTAACAGAAGCAACCTACAGCACATGTACCAAGAGCGAAGCAGCATCCTGACTGCCTTCACACTAAAGAGGGTTTTATATTATGACAAATATGCAGGGACTGAGCGTAGCGGGATTGTCACCTTCTGTGACGGGACCTTAGATCCATGAGAGTGTGATTCAAGATATTCTTAATTATTGTTGGACCAGTGACGTACAGAATGGTATCATCAGCGTAGAAGATAACACGGTTTTTGATTTATGACATAAATGACTGAGAATTAGACCATTACATGCAAATATGAATCAGTTAAATCAAGTTAACTCAAGCTTTGCACTGGACTTTTGATTCAAACACCTCCTGCCCATATTTACATCCTTCTGATGCACCTGTCAACAGGTGTGTGTATGATGCTATAGTCCCAGTTTGTCCTGACCATAACTTCTGATCTGTTCAAGATAATGTAACAAAACTTCATGCACATATGCATCATCACCAGACAGTGTCTCGTATGATTTTCATCACTCCAGCTTCACGGTCAAGGTCACAAATCAAGGTCAAATTTGAAACAGGGTCTTTGCTTATCCCGCTCGTAACTTCTGATTTTCTCAAGATAATTTAACAAACTTCGTACTCGCATGCATCACCAGACAGAGTGTCATGTATGATTTTCATCACATCGGCTTCAAAGTCAAGGTCACAAATCAAGGTCAACAGTTAAAACAAGGTCTTGCCCTGTCACGGTCATTGCTATAGATTGCTGTATTGCTTCTAATACTTTGTCGACGGGCGTGTAATGTCGTATGTGCTACTGTAAGTTTACCTTCTCATGAACACGTTCAGCCCAGCCCTAAAGAATAAAATATTCTGCAAATAATAAAAGAATAAAGTATAGAATAGAAACTTGAAGCGATTCTAAAGGATTTTTTAAAATAAATAGAAATGAGACTTTTATCTCGCACTATTAAATAAAGTTTGAGGACGCAGCAGATAATCCGTTCAGCTCTGCAGCTGCTTCCTGCTGCTCGCAGTTGATCTGGGGTTTGACTCGACAACCTGACAGCTCACTTCAAGTTCATCTAAAAACAACAAAGACTACACGCCCACAGTTAGCGCCAGTGAGCTCAAAGAAGCAGAGCAGTGCACGGCTGTCATTAGCCATTCAGAGCAGCCTTCATCAGCCTGGATGCTGCGTGTCTGCTGAATATATAAACAACACGGAGCGCACACCCTCCTGTAACGATCTGAGCGGGCTCACGAGCGAGGTGGGGCCTTTTTGTTTGAGTTAAAAATGACTGATGTGCGTGTGAACGTTGTGCGTAGACTCGTTCGGCGTGCCTCCCTCTGTGAGCAGCGACAAGGCAAATAAAAGTGAATTTCAAATCACACACTCAAAAACATTTTGCTCTGCATGGGTTCAAGTTGCAGTAAGTTAGTTCTGTATGTTTTTCATATGCACAAAATATATTTATTTTTTTTAAAAAGAGCAAAAATGCATGAAAATAATAAATCATGATATTAAAAACAAGAAGACTTACACAACAAAAGATTATATTTTAAATGAGCACAAACAATTATTTTAGAAATTAAGTTTTGTTCAACATTTGCGTCCTAAACTTTTATTTGCAGCTCATGTTGAAGCTGCAAATAAAAGTTTATGGAGCCTGAACGTCATTCAAATAAGTTTATTCCACCGTGTGGTTCGCCGTGTATTGAGTACAGGTACATGTACTTAACACAGTATTAGTACACGTCTTTGGTTGTGTAGATGTTGTCTCAGACAAAGGCTAAAACAAGACATCACACCGAACTACAGACCAAGTTCTGAAGTTTGAGCTCCGAGTCACTGGATCACACCAAACCTCCAACTACATCTGGTAGTTGAACCACGTCGAGTCTTCAGAGCAGGAGGTCAGGACCTGACTCCATCCTCGCAGGATCAGACTGGAGCCTGGTTCATGCAGAGAGACGAACTGCACGAAGAAGGAAATCTGTCGTCTGGTGCTTTCCAACGATACGTTACCTGTGGAGGACACGGCCCACATGAAGCCTCCAGGAGAACACACACACAAGACTGCGCCAGTTTCAACACAACTTGAACCTCATTTTATTGTCTTCTCAGAGCCCACCAGCACCTCAACATAGTCAGTGTAGGAGCTCGCTAAAGAACGTCACTGAGCTGCAGCTGTTGGGCTGTAATCAGAGAATGGCCTTCACGTGGGGGTCTCCACAATGTCTGGAAGCGTTCGCAGAGGTTCTCAGTTTTCTTGTGAGTCGCACATTGTCTCTTGAACAATGTTGTGCAAATAATTTTCTCTGCAAAACATCAAAGATGTTACAGCGTCTCCATCCATCTCAGATTTGTTGTGGGCAACAAATCGGTTTTAGTTTTGTAGTTTTTTGGGGTGCATCTTAAAAGCATCTCACTTCTGTCATGGGTGTCTGAAACCAGTTTTAGTGTGTGCATCTCAAACCAGTTTCAGTTTTTGTGTGTGCATCTCAAACCAGTTTCAGTTTTTGTGTGGGCATCTCAAACCAGTTTCAGTTTTAGTGTGGGCATCTCAAACCAGTTTTAGTTTTTGTGTGGACATCTCAAACCAGTTTCAGTTTTAGTGTGGGCATCTCAAACCAGTTTCAGTTTTTGTGTGGGCATCTCAAA